AGAACAGTGTTCACGAAGGCTCTCTTAGGTTTGGAGTAGCTGACTACAATCGCTTGCAGATCACCGCCAGTTTGGTAGTATCTGACAGCATCTATGCCAAGCAAGAGGTACCGTTGGGTTTGTGCAGCAAGCCTCTGTCATTAGCACCTTAACACACACGAAAGAAAAGTCGTGAGGTTTCCTACGGATGGACAAAGTGATTTCGGAGATTAGCTATACTCACATACTTGTCTCCTGCGTTCGTTGCAGTTTTTGATGTAGTTACTACTTGCAATCAGTGGGTCTCGTTACACCAGGTGAAAGCCCAATTTTCTCTGTGGTATTGTAGATGGTTGATCCTTCAAGATTACAGACAAACAAATTCCAGTGGATTTATGGGATTTTCTACTATTTTGTCGGTGTTCTGCAGTACATCATATCTTTTGATCCCTGACTGAGGTGGTAGGGTTTCACCTCCTGACTTGAAACAAATGTTGAATGTATCCACTTCAGTCTATGCGAAACTCATTAGCATGATGTCATGCGTAGGACGACTGGAGTATGCAATATAACGACCCATGTTAAGGTACAGTAGCACGTTGAAAAATTGGTCTATGGGTCTCTTGAAGCGGTCCAGGTAAAACAAATATTCATGATTTTTCCCGTTATCACAACGCCCAGGAAATAGTGTCAGAATGCGTTTAACTTTCAGAACTTCTCTCCTATTAAGTGCTGATAAGCTTGCATAGGAACTGGTAGAATCCCAGAAGCAACTGCGACTAGACGGACACTGGTGATCCACGCATTCACATCCCGTATCTCGCCTGGAGACAGGAAGGGTGGTAGATACCTGCTACTCAAATGATACTTCATTCACCTTCCAGATAATTCGCAACAGTTTTCTCAGACCTTGAAGAAGCTCGAGATTTTCATCCTTAAACGAGAGGAAGTCAAGACCGAGTCCGTTGCTTCTGCTGGGAATTTTAATTAAGTTTTGGAATTGATTTTTTTACTGTCGGACAATTCACACCCCTTCGTGGGACGACGATTGTTATGCTGAGCAACACAAGCCAGGTAAGTTGTTCCTTGATGTTTTTTCGCCCACCGAATTTCATGAAAATTTGGATAACCTATGCTTGGAACGTAGGTAAAGACCAAACAAAGACCACTCCCATGCGGTGAGAGTCTACTGCTGAGGAATTTTCACTAGGCCACTACTGACGTGAAAGTCTGATGAGGGACCTACAAGGGAGTTACATTCCTTCGGAATGGCTTGTCCTGATTCGGTCAACGTTCAATCCATCAAGCTAATTTGAATGCATGTGCGACCTCAGTTGGAACCGTTGGAGGTAGACCGTTTGTCTGTGAGTGCAATACAAGAGGTTCAGTGCCATATTGTGAAGTCTGTCCAGTTACATACGAGCTCGTTGAGGATTCCAACAGCACACTAAAAGCTAGGTTGTTTGTTGCGGAAAGTATTCGACTGATCAACGGAAAAACATGAGATCCAAAGTAAAACAAAAACTATTCTGGCGAATATACACTCATCTGCAAACCAGTTTGGTTCTTTCGAGAGACTCACCTGGAACCCAGCTGAATCTCTCGTTTATGATGTTCACAGGCAACTGAATGTGCTGCGCCAGGCCGCCTCATGTTTCAGTCGCTACGATATTTGAAATATCGCGACACATGTATATTTGTAATGTACTACTCATAAGGTTGCTGAAAATCCATCGACAGCATACAACCGGTTTCGCCCTTCTTGTGGCTCATCAGATAGGCGCAGTCCCCGGGTTTCCGTCAACCTTATGTTCTACTTGAGAACATCATAAACGAGAGATTCAGCTGGGTTCCAGGTGAGTCTCTCGAAAGAACCAAATTGGTTTGCAGATGAGTGTATATTCGCCAATTTCGTGCAATTTGGTTTCAAGTAGAACATAAGGTTGACGGAAACCCAGAGACTGCGCCTACCTGATGAGCCACAAGAAGGGCGAAACCGGTCGTGGGCTGTCGATGGATTTTCAGCAACCTTATGAGTAGTACATTACAAAAACTATTCTGCTTTTGAACCCTAGTAGGAAACGAAATGTTCATTTTTGGTCCATAAAACATACCCTTAACAAGACACCAAAGATCAAGAATCCCGCCTCTCCGACTACGTAGTTGGTAATCTTTGAGTTCCTGTTTCATGGGAATGATAACTATGCAGCCAGAGAGAAGGACCAGCTCAAAATCCTGTGGGTCTTCGTTATGTTAGACAGAATACCCTTACAATGCAATGGTTGGTCGTGCTGAAAGCCAACAGCCGGAGGTTCATAGAGTGTCCGAACAACTTCAGGAATAACTGATTACACCCTGATCTATCACACTTTAGTCCGAAATGGTGTCAACGGCACCTCAAATTTGGCCAAAAGCACCTCGTCAGAAACCTGCGTGGCTGTTCGTTTTCAAATGGTGTGTTGCAGTTGTAGATCTGGATATCATTGCTGTCGTCAATTCTGACCAAATAGAATAACGGGACTCGTAAAGTAAATGAGCTACCGAAAAACTAGATGTTCTCCAAAGACAGAATTGAGAGGAACCCGTAAAACATTCCATTCGGAAAAATTAGGGGTAACTCATCTCATCTAACTCATTTACCCAGATGCAACTCTCGAATCACCCAGTAAGACTCCTGCCAGTGGTCGGATTTTCAAAGCGTGAATTTATGAAAAAAATGGTCTAGAACTGATATCTTTCCATACTCAAAGTTTTTGTTAACCATGATGTCTCCTAACTACACGGAAAAACAGTTTCCACATGGAATATGATAAAAGCATCATCTATCAGTCAGAGTCTGATTACTTTCGCGCCCCACTATTTTGTATTTTCAAAAGTTTCCCGTAGAGCCTAGCTGGCAGTAAGGTTGTTCGTTGAGTCTGTGACTCGAAAGGGTTTCAAAAGGCACTTTATTTTTATACGGTCAAGGATACATGGTCTGGTCATAAACTTCACTAAGTTGTGTTCGACGACCCGGTTGGTTGATTTTTCGTATAAGAGAGAATATGAATCACATAACCCAGCAAGACGATACCTTTTTGCTTGAAACTGCATCGTTCATACATCAAATCACCTACACTCTTATTACGAACTTAACACCTACCACTGGACCTCTGAATATCGACGCATTAAACCAACTGCCTTGCTAGAAAGGTCAACTGCCACCATCCATCAAACGTACACTAAAAACTTGGTTTCCATTGAGCCACTGAAGAATGTTTACCTCTCCGGCCCATCGACAGCGGAACAGGAGTTAAATTTACAGTGTCTTTGTGCTTCGGCTTAGGGGAAGCGAAGCAGAGGGTTGGTAGATAAAAAGGAGAATTGTATAGCATGACACCTGCAAGTACCATGCACAGATACCCAGTCCTAAAGGAAAGATTCATACCGAGTTGTCAGACAGGAGGGAAGCCGATGAGTAAAAGGAGTCGAATTCTATAAGGAGACCTTAATTGGGCTGATAAAATATAAAAAAAGCACCAGACAAATATATAAGAACCAAAAAAAACTGTGACTTGCCTATGCTATCTGTTCGCTGCGGCTTCAGCTGCTTTCGCCTACGCACTGAATTCGAGTGTGGTCCAGAAGTCAAGTCGTCTAAGTGATAGCTTCCAGTTAGTTCCATCGCACAAGGATTTGAAGAGCAATAGCTTGCGTTGATTTCGCTTAACTTGGCCGTACTGAGCATATTGTTGCTTTCCCTCATAGGCGAACAATTTAACGCGCGTTTCTTCCGTGTTGTTGTACAGGGTCTGTACAACATCCCAATCAACTGCCTTTATAAAGCACCGGAAGTCTGTCTGCTGATCACTCCGTACACGTGACCGATTCCCTGTTGTGGCATTTGATATTCGTCGAACTGGTCAACCATACACGTCACCTAGCATTATTTGTTAAAGACAGTCCATCGATTATCGTGAGTTCGCACTACCGCAATGAACTGTTAATGAACTGCTTGCCACCACTGACAGACGGGATATAGATGGAGAAGTTTATTGTGTTGTAGTCGTGAAGAGGTTTATCCTACTGCCTGATGTACTGAATCAATATTTAGCTGGGGCTCATCACTTCGACCTGATCATCCTTATCCGAGATGCCTATCAAGGAGTTATGATAGTTTAACACCAGGTTGGTATCATGATGTGTCCAGTCTTCAAGCATTTCACTCTGGAATTACTGGCTTCACCCAATCATGTTTGCAAATATGGACAAGATCTACAGGTAGTTAAGGTTGCTTCCGACAAAGCTTGTCTGTCCTCGAAGACACCAGGACAGTCCTTACCAAGATATTTCGAAAATTTTCCTGGAATTTATTTGCATGATAATTGAACTGAACGCGATGCATGCTATCTGCGACCCTTTATTACGGAAATGTAACCTCGGGGTATCCAAACTTCTTGGCCCCATGGGTTAACGTTTCGGTAACGGTGAACAGCTCTCGATAGTTCTTTGCCAGTAGAAGCACCTGAAGATAAAATGCAATGGGAGGCAAGGAAAAGTGCAGTAAACAACAAGCGCAACGAAGATCATTTAGCAGTCCCTAGGACAGTTTTTGTCAAACCATCCTCAACATGGGATGCTAAAAAATAAAGGAATAAACAAACAACTGAATAGGTAAATGAATAACTGTTCACATACAACCCTTTTTAGTGTCTAGCTGCCATGCCATCCGAAGGAGACCCAGATATGCGACCCTTTATTACGGAAATGTAACCTCGGGGTATCCAAACTTCTTGGCCCCATGGGTTAACGTTTCGGTAACGGTGAACAGCTCTCGATAGTTCTTTGCCAGTAGAAGCACCTGAAGATAAAATGCAATGGGAGGCAAGGAAAAGTGCAGTAAACAACAAGCGCAACGAAGATCATTTAGCAGTCCCTAGGACAGTTTTTGTCAAACCATCCTCAACATGGGATGCTAAAAAATAAAGGAATAAACAAACAACTGAATAGGTAAATGAATAACTGTTCACATACAACCCTTTTTAGTGTCTAGCTGCCATGCCATCCGAAGGAGACACAAGATATGCGATACTACTAGGTTGACCAAGTCCAGAAAAGAGCAGATGAGATGCCCGAGTTGGGTTCAAACCACGTGACCCCTGGTTACCCCGGCGCCTTAACCACCAAGCTAACTTCAGCACTGATCATCGACTGCTCACGCATGGGGATGATCCACTCCAGTGAGAACTGCTTGGATTATGGTGTCTACACATAGGTTGGAGTGTTCAGACCTTAGATATATTCACAGGGAATACCAGATGATAACATCGTAGACTAGTGTTTAGGTGACCTGGGTCCAATCACGTGTAGGTTTCCGAGTGAAAATATAGAACATTAATCTGGCACCGACTTTTACACCAAAATGCTTGACCTAAAAGTGTAACCAAAGGGTGAGTTCCTAATTTTTCCACCATTTTCTTAGAAATATCATGGATTTTCCCTTGCAATGTATTCTAGCATGGCACTGCCACCACCAGTCTTCGTGTCGAAACTTAAGGCTAATTTTTGTTGGGGTTACTGCAATTAATTCAGCAGGTTTCGGAATCCCAGTTTTTCCACTACTCTCATAGGTTTAAGCTAATTTAAACTCTTACCAACGGTACGACCACTTTTAGAAGACCATCATTCAGTACTCAAGTATTTTGGACACCAAAAATATGATGTAATGATAAAAGAACTGCGTATTTATATTTTCTCAAAAGACTACCTCAAATAACCTGGCAAAAGCGTCCTCTTCTGTAAGTTGGTTTCTTCTCAGGGATGTTCGCTATGAAAATCCGCTTCATAATCCTTCTAACGGCATTGCCCGAGAGTGGTCTCCCCAGAAATGGACAAATGAAACTATACGACTATGAGTTCAGCATTCAGAGCTCACAGTAACGCAGAATCCTAAACTAGGGTACTTTCTGATTTTGCCACACCATAAACCTCAGTGTTGTCACCCGATCTTGCAGACTTGGCACAGCCTTAAAACGCTCCCTCATTGGCCACAGCGCTCACAGAAGACTGAAATACCCACAACATGATTGAGCACAAACTTTGGCAGGATTGACACCTCGTTGTGCAAATCCAATTGGAATTTGCATAATAGTGGAATTACTTTGGGACCACAATGACGGTTCACTTGGGAGATGAAGGTTATTAGTACAGGACGCTTGTTATACTGCAAGTAGTATGGGCTGAGTCCACGATATTATTGCAGTAGTTTTGGGGTGGTATTATGTTCTTGTCAAAACTTGAGATGTTCTTTTGACTGGAATCGTCATTTTGCCCTCCTAGGAGAGGCCTCAACCAAACTAGGATCGTTTGGAAAATCGTCCTTACTAGGGAGATCTACTGTATTTGCCAGCGGTTAGATCTTCAGATTTGCTGTGGAAGGACACTGACGTCCAGTCTTCCAGGTAGTTTTATTCATTCTGTATTATGCGAAGTGCCTGAGCGCTCATATAAATATGAAACAAATGCTTTTCATTGTGATCGTCGCCACTGAGTGAAAGTTTCATGTCATTTCCCCATGATCCAGGGACGAACCAAGCTACTTTGTTGAACAGAAATAACTGTCTCACTCTAGGCGCTTTCCTACTCCTACAGAATTATCCACGATCGAACGCGGATTGAGAAGAGGGAATTCAATAGCCCTGATCTCTATTTGAAATCAATGTTTTCTTATCACATTCTTTGGATTCTGTTCGTTTACGGTACTGTTCCGGCCTTACACAACCATGTGCTTTGCTTGTGATCTCACAATTACGCCGTTAAATGAGAGTCGAAATTTCGGTAGGTCATGCTGTCACCGTGGCACGGCTAAACTGCGCAATATGGTTTCATGTGGACTTCCGCTTCCTAATGCATTAGGAAGCACGAGGCTGGCTTCAGGGACCTCTAGTAGGAGTCACTTTGTGGTGAAGCGGAAAGTTCTTTAAGTTACCTCTTATTTACGTACCTAATCTCATTCATGCACCTTAAACTTTCTTATGTCGGGGATGAATCTGGCACGACCCATGCTGATGCACCAACTCTGATTCAGCAGCCTGTCAGCTTTCTGAACATCTTTCTACGGTTCACTGACTTCATATGTAAATCATAACTTCCATTCTCTATGAGAATGAAGTCCTGAACAAGTTCTGATGTTTACCACTGTTATTGATTCTTATGGGTGTTCAGACGTTCAAAGATACTAGAAAAGGGGGCCACGCTTGGTTAATAGTCTTCTTCTCTTCAAATACAACTAACTTCTCCAAATTGAGACCAATGTCTTCCTCTAGCGAAGCATATTCAGCGTCGACCAATTGATTTTTATGCGGAATCTTTTTTGGGCTGGGTTTGCCAGTAAAATACTTTGCATGGGACAACGGTCTTCCACGTCCAACGGTTATTTTGGAAGCTTGTTCTAACTGGATTTTTCTCCAGACAGGGCGAAAATTCAAATGGCGTCACATAGGCCTTTCAAATCTACTGCTTTGAAAAAATGCAATGCATGCCCTCGAATAACCGTAGGATCCTAGACCCCAATAAAAAGGCAGTTCACACCACGTTATAATCATTTACCGCCAGATGGTACCTCATTACTTAATTTCAGTAGGGAATCTTAATGAAAATCTGACGATAGTTTGATCTGACTCAGACAGTGTATTTCAGAATAATAGGCAAAAAACCAGTCTCTTCATCAGCAGCTGGTCGTTATGTAATCAGTTTGGCTCCAAGGTTACCCGATGGCAGTGCTAATGAGACACAAGTGGCGATCGCTACAAAGATGGAGAGGCGGCTTGGTGTTGAGTTACGTTACGCATCCGAACAAAATACACGATTTTCCACCAAATAATGTTTTGAACATGCGAGCCACCCTTTATCCAAATCGGTTGTTTGTTTTGTGCCTTGCCTGAAAGTACATCACCGGTGTGAAGTGTTTCCGAACTGGTCTCTGAATGACGGCCAAATGCAAGTGATACCACAAAAAGCTATTCGCAGTTTAGTCGTCCACCGACAGGCCCTCGAAGGGAAAGCCTCGCTTCACATTTGCCACACGCACCAAGAGAACAGATCATGTGAATCCGGCGTTCGACGAGTGCGATGGCGCACTGACCTGGCACCATGACCAGTTGCGGTGATTAATCAAGCATAGACCTTCGGGCTGAGCATGGCGCGTGTGTCACCATAGCTCAGAAAGCCCACTCGGCTGTATTATCTATCGTACCCTGTATGATGCAAGATTTTACGCTGAGGCTAATGGTGGGGTGTAATCCGTGGATAAGACAACATAGACCACGACACAGTTTTCTAAACAACTTCGACGGTGATGGGTCTTTCTAGGTGAAAGAAACACAACACCAGTGGTTGTCCGGATATCCTTTGAAAACCTTTCCCGGTTTCATCCGTGTTTAGCAAGATAGTATACTTGTCGGCAAATGACGCCGGTAAGATGGCGATTTATAATTGCCAGTAGGTGACGTTCATCGGGTCAGGCTACGTACGTGAGCTTGTTGTTAGCAGTTCCAATGCGTTACCCTGAGACAGTGACGCTATCAGTTCAGCTTGTCTTGATGGGGAAGCGAATCTGGTTCAGTAGCACAGACACATGTTTGACTCAGTTCGATGAATTTATTCTCTCTTGCCCTTGCTAGTGAGTTGTTTTCCAGTCTCCTATTTACCCGGCCTCTTTCTGACAGCTGCTAAAAAGCTCACTTAATTTAGCGAAATACGCTCATTTGCAATCAAATTTGGTTTTGCGAGAGACTTACCTGGAACCCAGCTGAATCTCTCGTCTAGGATGTCCCTATGCAAATGAATGCTCTGCATTAGGCCACCTCACTTTTCAGTTGGTACGATATTCGAGATATCGCCACAAATACATATTCGTAATGCACTACTCATAGGGCTGCTGAAAACTCTTCGACAGCCCACGACTGGTTTCGCCCTTCTTGGGGCACATCAGGTAGGCCCAGTCCTCGAGTTTGCAGGTGAGTGTATTTCGCTAATTTCGCGCAATTCGCTTTCAAGTAGAACATAAGGTTGAGAGTCTGTCTCTCTAAAAGACATCTATGTGAATACCAGGTCTCCCCACTTGTCCGCCATCCCGTTGTGAAGCGATTGATCAAATCTGTGTCCATAGGGAAAGCAACCGCAATGTGATAAGTTCGTCACTGAGACCCATTCTTATATAGGCCAAAAAACTGACTGCATCACTAAATATCTATATATGGGGGTAAAGTGTATCTATTTAAATGTTTTGTTGACTTCTATCCAAATGATTGCGATGAAAGTACATAGCCCCATTCTCCTTGAAATGACGTCGAGTTCAAATTCTGTTAAGAATTTTGAGTGTGTTGGTTGCATTCAAGAACCAGACATACTTAGCTCGATATGCCATACAAGGTTAGTTCATATACATTTTCCAGGACTTTCAGTTTCGCCCGCAATTTCTTTCAGCTTGGTCGTAAAACAGCAAACAACTTGTTACACTAATGAATGGTTTGACGTATATTGTGCGTCGTATCTCAACGCTATGATCTTTGAGTTATGGTGCCTTTTTATGAACAAGTTTGTGAGCAACCTAACTTTACCCTGTAGGGCAAGATGTGGCACTTTTTTCAATTCGACCCACAGGGCTGCATGGAAAAAGTGAACTGCAATGCAATGAAACATTAATACACTGAGATCACACACAAATTATATGTTGGTGCTTGTACGCGGTGAAATACTCCTTCTTGTCATCCATAAATATTTTGAATTTGAGAACAGCATTCTCTGCCTTTGCAATGTTTGTACAGACTCACTACCTTAGCTTATAAGATACGTTTCCTAGCCTGAAGAAGGTAGACAGGGACCAGATAACATTATGTCGCTGATAAAATGACTGGCCGTGGCTGCCCCACACTTGCAGATTTCCCCAGCCAGTTTGACTTGATAGAAAGTATCACAAATAGGAAGAGTCGGATATGCCTGTTGGAGCTAGTAACCAGCAGAAAATTGTGAACACGAAGCGCATTGTTTAGAGGTTAATCGTTTCAGAGCTAGACAATCTTCATTCAGGAAACGACAACGCATCCAGTTTAGAAGATAGTCTTGTACAAATCTTAGGAAGGACTCATCTGAACATGTGCAGTTCATGCGGTCAGTATTCACTCAACTCTAGCATTTCCTTCCAAACTTTCACACTATCTACACTTCACTTGCACTATGTCTTAAGATATTCTATGTTGGTACGTTTTTGCTCCATTAATGTCACACCCCCGTGTTATCATTCAGTCTGGCAAGATGGAAATACCGCACCGGCATTCTAGATGCCGAATCTGCTGCTTCGGGCACATTGTACTCAGCGATTCGGTGAGAGTCATCGGTTAGCCATGAATTCTTTTTTGTGGGTGTCGCTTTCGAAGTATATCTGATAAGTACGAACAGATCGTCGGTACCATAAAAAGACAAAGCAACTTACTCCCAAGACAAGAAGCAGATGAAAGGACTCTTGCTGCCAATGCCTCAAGTTCAGATAGTCGCGTTATGTTGGTCGGCACAGGTGACACAGCAGGTGACAGCTTACAGGTAGGTGCACGTCTCTCTTCTTGCAGGTGCGCTTCGTTCCACTGACTATTGTAATGCATTGCTGGTGGTTAATAGCATGAACACCATCCAAAAATGCGTAACATCCTGCCAGTACTTTTCAAAATATCCTGCAAGTACCATTGAGCAAACGAAGGTAATCTTGACAAACAGTGCCAGGACGGCTTCACGGACTACTCGCCTCAACTAGCTAAGCTAGCAGCGACACAATGCACTGAAGCGGGCGTTTGATATATCTGCCCAAGCTGATGTGAATGTAGTCAGCGTAAAGTAGTGGGTGGGTTGATTGGCAAGCGCAACGTAAGGGATAAAGGTAAGGTACGATAACACTCGTAGATTTGTTCCAAATCAAAATGCACTGGAAGTTATTGGTCTCAACACTGATCTGTCGTATTCAGCCAGTTGCTCACACACTGCAAGCCATACAGCTGTCGAGCGGGCCACCTCGACCATTCAGTCGTGTCATTGTGTCGCGGAAGCGGTTCCGGTATGATAAGAAAGCGAAATACGCTCATTTGCGTTCCAGTTTGGTTTTGACGAGTAAATCAACTGGAACCCAGCTGATATTCCCGTTCATGATGTTTTAAGGAAGTGAATATGCTGCACCAGGCAAAATATTCAGTATATCGCGATACATTGTATAGACGCAAAATACTACTCACAAGGTTGTCGTGGGCTGTTGAGGAGCTTTCAGCAACGTTATGAGTAGTGTATTACATCCACAGTGTTATGGAGGATCTGTGATGGATCCCGGTGAGGATTTCCCCTTCATTTGGTGACGAATGTTACTAACTGTAAGTTTTCCCGATACTCGTAGAATTCACGTTCACGTCAATTTAGTCTAAAAACTCTTCTACCTGTCCTGGCGAAATTATTGTATTGTTATTTTATCACTGGTCCACATCAAAGTTTGAAAGAGCTTCACTATTATTAGCGCTCATTATTGGTATATATCCTTGGCTTTTCTATCGTTGTAGAGCCTATAGAAGAGAATTGTATGGCAGAGTAAAAAACTATTCTCAGTGAGCAAACATAACGCACTACTCGTAAGGTTGCTGAAAAATTTTCGATAGCCCATGACCGATTTCGTTCCTCTTGCAGCTGAATGAGTGGAACTCCATGAACGAGGGATTCAGCTGGGTTCCAGATGAATCCCCCCCAGCAAAACCAAACTCTAATATAAATTAGTGTATAAGTCTTCTCAAAGATATTTAAAAAATAAGCATTAGCTATGAGATACGTCTCATACACTCACCACAACGAAGACTTAAAAGGGATTCCCAACTCAAAATAATGACTTTTATGGATCTATAGTTTTACTATTTAAAAAGGTTGTTGTAATGCTGAAATCTATGAAGTAATTGAATTCTTGGGCCTGCGGTTTTAAAAGCTTTTGAATAAGCGATGGCTTTGCTGACAAAAATCCTACGACGACGAATGCCTGTTAACTAGTACATGCCTACTAACACATTATCGATTCTACAAACAGACACTCTCAGTTACCAAACAGCTCACTTTCCTAACTCGCTATTGAAAAAAGAAAATTTATCTCCATGGAGGACAACCTGACCAACTTCAAAATATTGTCGATCAGTTTACAGCTAGGATAATAATCCACTCGCAATTCACTCAAGATTCACTCGTGGTGGTAAAACGTTTGAAATCCAAAGAGCCTAGCTCAGTGAACAAATCAACGGCCAGGATATTGCTCACGTCACTGATTTTCATAAAGTCCAATTTAGTATTGTCTTCTTTAAAGCACCATCAAGTTACAAACTGACATTGCACGCGATCTCTCATTTGTGTCCATATCGCCTATTCCAGTCAGATGCTTTCTTTAAGACAGACAATCCATTCGGTGCCATTTTCTGGTAAAACCAGAGCTTTTCTGGCTGAAATCCTGCCCGTCCCCCACCGATCGCTTCAGACACCTGTTTTAAATAGCATAATTTTAGCTTGAGTTACCTCAATCCGCAGACGTCGTTCGCGCTAATCCAACTTTAAGCAAGACTCACCACCCTACCAGTTCTGAGCGATGATATACGCCCCTGGTGAGCACGTGTGTAGGGACGGTTGGTCAACCGCGAACCTCAATGCGCCTGTGTGCACGCCACATATACCGAAAGCCGGCCGAAAACTGTCATTACGAAAACGCAATCTGCTGGGATTTAGCACAACAGGAGATTAACAAGCAATCTGGAAACGTCTTCTACATGATTTCGCAAGGATAAACCACAACGTTTTGAGCAGCTGAACGGTAGATGTGCCAAGATGGCATTCTCAGGAGGACGGACATTTTTGTAACGGAGGGGGGAGGGATGAACTTTTTCTTCAACCCACCTAAAAAGCACGCAGACAAACGGCCACACATAATGCCACTTCCACGATGGAATTTGCCGTGTGCTTTGATTTACATGCCCTCAGGCTTCGCGACAACTAGGTACACGTGAAAAAGACCGCCCAGGTTGTGATTTGGTTTAGTTGCGCAGACCACAAACGGTATATCAGAATACTCTGGCGGATGTTAATATTAGTCACAGAAAGATAAAGCATTTGAAATCCGATGGCGTAGCGCTCAAGTTCCATGGCGTATCTCAGTTCATTCAGCACTGGATAGAGTCAATCAACAAGGACAAATGTTGATACACTGACTGCAGTCTGAACCTAACCAAAGTTGTCCGTCCCGAGGAGGCGATTGAATGAGTAGATTCGTAACAGCATACCTGTAAAAACAAAATTAACTGCTACGGTCTTTTTCCAGAGAAACTGATTGTTTTTGCAGGTCTCTCCCAACGTTCAGTCATGCCTAAGAATGAAGTGCTGACTTGATCAGAGGAACAGCACGATCCATCCAGATTCTTGATCTCGGTCGTTTTCTACTAGATTTCGTGATCTCCGGATTCCCTCACTGTCAGACACTGCCTAAGAATTAAAGCTGCTTCTGGATCGCCTCTGAAATGTCGAACCGAAAGAATATTCTAGTTATTAACACCGTCATCATCAAGATCATCATCATCATCACCACTGGGAAGGTGGGGTAGATAGAAATACATTGGAAGCATTAGTTGATATAATTGGTGTATAAATACAGGGATGTCAGTTGACTTTTCATCGGAAAAACCGGAGGGAAGCTATGCGTTGAAAGCAACAGTTTGGATGCATGAGCGCCACTGAGGGCACGACCAACCATTTCTGATAGTATCCCTAACCAGTGAGGTGTCCAGAGAGAGGGCAATGAC